AGTTAGTATGACGCGCTTTTATGGAGTTTTTCGAAAGGTTCGTAAAATATTTACGAGCTAATTCGGTTCCGTAAACAATTAGGCGCGTTACGACCTGTAGGGAAGCTGTGAAAAGTTATTTCTAGGCCGTTTTGTGGAGCGCGGAGATCGAAGAGGTCATTCCCTTTCGCCGGTTTACGAGCCCCGGGAAATTATCCACTCGTAATTTCGTTACGGACGCGGATCAATTATTTCCTATGTTTTATGATAAAAGTATCCATTATTAAGTATCTGGGAATACCCGGAAATAACCTCTACTCTGTAAGGGATCTGTGCTTTACTCATTGTAAAAAATTGTCAAATAATAAGACAAGATAGCGGAGAAAATAGTGGCGACTGGTGACAAGAATAGCCGGAAAATCGAGGCGAGTGAGTCGGCAGGAACATTGGCCAATTTCCTGCTTTAGCAACATCTAACGGTTTAATTAGGCAACGGAGCGAAATTATGAGTTTGTTATGACGCGCCTTTGATGTTTCGTCGACTTCGCGATACGGCGTTACCTACTTTACGGGTTTAGTTTAGAGGTAAATATAAAACGTAAACTTCCGCGATGACAGCCCCAAATGAACAGTCCAAGAATAATACTTGCACATTTTACGATTGGCTTTTATTCACTATTAGTTAATGTTGCAATCATGCATCAGCACCATCACTAACTAAAGAAGAATTAAGAAACACCGCGATATAGAGGAAAGTCTCTAAAGAATGAAAATTCTGATTGTCAAATAAAAATCGCAGTCGCAATTGCACCATTTTGTACACCTACATTTTTCAAATTACCTACTAAAAATAGATGAGGGTTTGTCATACGTGCTCGTTCGAAATGCTGGAGCTCGACTAACAAAAGGAAAAAGTGGAAAATGTCGCCCAATTAAACGTACGTTTTTGAGGCGGTCATAAACGTGTTTTCCATTAAAAGTTCAAAGCGTGCGACATTGAACAGACGTGGCGATTGAAACGAAACAGATTTCCATCGCGAGTTGCGACAAGATTACGGCGATATTACAAAGGAAAACGTTACTCTCCTCCATGTAGCGTGCTGTAATAGGAAACAGATAAATTTCGAGAAATATTTACCAATCAAAAGCATCCGTCTTGTTTCCGTTTTTTTTTACCTTATTTTTACTCGTCCCATTTTCCTTTTTGTTCGACAGTGTTTGCGATTTTCTCGAGCTGATAGAGTCCTTTTTTAAATCCAGAAATCCCAACTTACACAAAACTGATAAAATAAATATCGACGTCCGTATGCTCCGATATTTTTTTCCAATTTAAATTTCCCAGCACTCGCCAGAAATTCTTATACAGTACTGGCCAAAAGTATCCTCCATTCAATTCTAGTACACACGCAATCAAATGAAATTAAGAGACGTTTTGGTGAGCACTGTATATGTAATTTATTAATACCCCCACATCAATCAGTTCCAAGCTTAAAATTTTCATAAATACACCTGTTTTTATGCTGTGGAAACATCCTGCTTTTGAAGTCCCTTTATCCGTAGAGTCGACACATTTATTTTCTTCGGGAAAATTCCCGATTCTCCCGAAAGACACATGGTCCTGTTCTCCGTTTTTCTCGTTTTACTTCGCCCGCCTACGGGCATCAGGTCGTAAATCATGCAAACGGCGGAGCGCGGGACGGTAAAGGAACGGTCTACATGTAAATTTAGCTGTCAATAACACCGGAAATTTTGTGTTTCGCGTTTTTGCGGACAAACAAACCCCCGACTTGCGCGTATTTGTCGACGGGAAATATTTGCGGAGGTCCGATGGAGATGGTGCGAGGTGATAATGTTGGGTAAATTTGGTCGAGATTGGTCGTTTTCAGTGCTTAATTGCGAGGGAAATAAATCGAAAAGCGTACCAAGTATCATTTAATTTAGACGGTTTTGTAATCATTAGCTTAGAAAAATAAAAAAAACTTGTAGTAATTTGGCCGGAGATCAAAAAGAAATAGATACGGAACATAAAAATAAAATTTTTACGCCACTTCGGTCGAGATAATTATTAGCGAGATCCGTATTTTCGAATTAAAAATAGCCGTTCGAAAGCAATGACCTTAATTTCACGCTAATTCTCGCGTTACCGAAAACTTATTTCTAATAAAAATAGCGACAGTAATGATAAACGTTTATTCGCTAAAAATTCCAAATTTTCGCTTCCTCCAAACGAGTATATCTGCATTATAAATATTTCTTTTTCATTCGATTCCTGTTCCGAAAGCCTTTCCCTGTCACTCATCCGCTTCACGGGTACTTTAACGTGTATTATCCAATGTAAATTCGACATATTCTAGGTGAAGATACACTTAAACAGGCTATCATGCAGTCGAAACTTCTGGAAATCTTCACCCAGTCTCGCGCCCACTAATAAATTTCGTGGGGATTTCGAAGGTAATAAAAAATAATCGAATTTTATATAAATTATTGCAGCAACGTCTCTTGACAATTCGATTTTATTGGTTTCAATAAACGTTAGCTTCGTTAGCTTCAAGATTTATTACAACGTAAGGAAAGCGGATATATTTATAATGGCGAGTTTGGATAAAAATACACGTAAATTTCCGACTGTATCGAAGGGTTTGCACTGTTGAATAAGGCGAAGGAATGATGACTAATTAAAAATTAATCCGGCAGTATCGCAATTTTCCTCCGTTCGTTTTTCAAATTCCCGTCCTTCTCGATTTACAATGCACAAAACACGTCGGCGGACTTGATATACAGCTGTTGGGATTTAATCAGCGTAAGAGCAGGGATTCGGGACCCAGTTCGCTTCTAAATGCTGTTGAATTTCGAAGCTAATTTTAGTCGTAGAACGAACGTAAATTCAGCTGTCGCTACTACTTCATATTACGCGCCCTGTCACGACACTTTTCTTCGTTACCACGTCATTCTTGTATCTTTTACTGAACAAATCATCAACGTTATTCCATCTACTGCAAACTCAGTTGCCTAACTTTAGGAGCCATGTCTACTGCAAGTTTAGTGGCCTAACTTTTACGGTTACTTGTATAAAAACACTTAATGAAGTCACTGTATAGTTTATACAACATTCCTAGCGCATTAAAGCACTTATTTGTTGCACTAAATCGCTAGATTGTGTCCGAAATGAAGCTACAAACTTTTTATTGCTTCCGTGGAAAAACCGCCCCTTCGCCTATACATCACCGGACTTGGCTGATAAATCATTCTAAGCTTTCACCCTTTACCGAAGGGTTAAAACGTGTTTTCCCTCTACTTCGAAACACTCTATTATATCGTTACATTTTAGTATGTGTTTACATACGCATACGGTTATTTCGTTGTTATCGTGGCGTTGGAGAAAGTAATTTTCTTTAATGAATAATGGTGGCGTAAAATAAATACCCCATTGGGTTGAGATAGTAGAAATTGGAAGAGAAAAAAAACACCGAAAGGACCATGAAATATCATTAACTTCCAGTTGAACTCGCAGCTCTTTCAATTATTTCGATCATTTTCATCTTTAATTGAACGTAAACGATGGGCTCTCCGCCCTCTCTTCTCAATTAATTTCAATCCATCGCGACCGACACAATTTTATTGAATTCTATTATCTAATTTATCAACACTTATTCGGTTATGATGTTTTTTTCATTAACTTATCGAATTCCTTTCTCTTTCTTATACGTTATAGCTTTCCTCGGATAAATTGGGTAGAGTTAATCGAATCAAGTTTGATTTATGGGTTTTTAAATGCCCTCGTTTTCATTGGCTCTTTCTAATATCTTTTCGATATCTGCACGTGGAGATTAAACACGAATTCGCTGGAAGACGATAAATTTCACGCCCGCAAAACATCACCACCTATCGTGTACCGTTTAATATGTAATACTTAGCGCATTAACTCAAAACCAGTAGTAAATCTTACTGGATCTTGTACACGAATTTAATTAAAGTCTTATAGAAGGGAGCAGGGGCGAGAAATCGTTTTGAAACAAAAGTGGCGTAACTAACAAAGTATCAATTCTCTAATCGAATCTAAATACACATCAAAAACATCTGCTAATTAGACGAATTTCGTGTCTAAAACGAGCTGGGTTATTAACAGAAAAAAACCTTTAACGAACCCTAAATGGTGTATTATGCACGTAAATTGCCACCCCTCGCGAAATACGCCTATGTTAGTGATAAGCAGAAGCGGGAAAGTGAGGTGCCGGAAAATCTGCTTTGTAATTGAGAAATTCTATGCGGGAATTTTCCGCCGTTTACTCGACGGAAAGACACAATGCGGAATTAGACGAGCAGATCTGGAACTGATGTTTCGGGTTTTTCCAGCGGTTGTTAATACGCCCAATTTTCCGGTAACCCAATTTAAAATAGCACAAGAGAAGCGAGAATTGAATTACAAAGGTAAGACGTTCGTATTAAAATTATCATTAAGTGTGTAGACACGAAAATAAATTAGTAACGGAAATTCCTATCGTTCCACAGCACGAATCTTCTATTTTTCCAACACATTGTATATAAACGGCGGTAAAATGGACAGGCGGAGCGTCATTTAATTAATGCCGCGGTTATATTTGGTGGTGATATGTATTTTGTATATGGGGAATTAATTTTCCGCATAAGCTGGGCAAGGGAACTGGGGACGTGCGATTTAATTAGAATTTGCCAGAACCTCTGCATTGAAGTTTCAAACGAAAGTATTCGAATTCTTTGATGCGACAAAGGATAGGATCATGCTAAATTCGCGAGAAAATTATTCCACAAAAATCCAGCATTTTCCATTACAATTCCTCAACTTTCTTCCTTCGTATTTCTACATTTTCACACGAATAGTGCAAACTCTTTAACCACAAAACAAAGCCATTATTCGAAACTGAACGCAGACAGGACACGTAAATGTATAGGAAAATCATTGTTCCCCAACAGGCGACCGCCCTCGGGGCGAATAAAGAGTGCCCCTTCCGGACAATTAGATTACATCTGAACCCTCTACTAACCTGTACAATGGACTTGGTCTGTTTAGTGATGTCGTCGGTGGACCCTTGAGCCGACCGGGGAGTCTTAATGCAGCCCGGGAACATCTTCGGTGCGATGTTATCCTCGCGATCCTCGGAATTATCCTGCCGAGAGCCTCGCAGTTATTCGGGCAACTTCTGGTATTAGCTCGGGAGCACTAGTCCATTTATCGCACATCGTCCGGACACTTGGCACTTTGGAATATTCGCGAGTTTGCACCAACCGCTGGCCGTTTTATATATGTTTTTTTTTGCTAAATTGTTATTATATTTAAATTGTTTGTTATATGACCAATGATTCCAAGAAACGTATGTTTGTGGAATTTATGCTAAAATTGACTTCCTTTTCTGATAATATTTTATTATTAGAAACTAATAACTTTGTTGTATAGTATTGTACTAAAAGAAAATAGTAAATTCCATCAAAATACAGGAAAACAAACCGAAATTTATCTCTTAATCACTGCACAACAAATACATCATTTTGTGACTAAATTATTCCGTTTCTTCCGTCGCTAATTTAGTTGTGGAGTATTCTAACTTTGTTTGGACTTTTTATTTCCTCGTCGAAGTCGAGTTAATTAACTTCTGTTTACAGCAGAACCTTGTAATTGGAACATTAGCATTCCCGAAATAGCCCGGGGCGAACTAGCGGCGAATACAGCCCGAACGATCGTCTATTCTTCTCCAGAAAAATTCGTGACTAACGCCGAAGAAGACGCTCCGATGTAGTTACAGAAGAAAATAGAAGGTTCGCGCGTGTTCAAGTGATTAAATTGTGATTAGAAAGTAGGGAGAATGCAACTTAAGAATACTTCAAGAAGTTGAAGTGTCTAATTTTTTATAATTATGTTAGGTACTACTGATTTTTTTCATTCAAGTTGAGACTCGATATCAAATTGTACTTGACGATTTGAATAAACTGAAAGAAAATCTTTACAAAAAGGTACAATTTTTTAAAATTTATATTGACTTAGTGCTTCATTGTGTTCCACATGAAGCGCTATATAAATAAAACTACAGCTCATAATTTCACAATTTTTTAAAAATATTTATCTTATTTCCTCCCGAGTATTCTTCGCGTGTACGACCGTCTAAAATAAATTTATCTAAACGCATAAACCGTACGTTCACATCGCCACCTTTTCCCCTAATCAATTTTCCTTCTAATGCATCTATCCGACAGAAATTTTCACTTTAAACGTCCACTCGCGGATTACTCGCTCCCAGAGTGAAACACAGATAAATACTTTCGGGATGAGCGATATTTATAGCGCTACTCTAGCTCCTACATAGCGGGCGCTAATGTGGAATTATAACGGAAACTGCAAGTGCACGGGGTCCGTTTATTTCTCCCTTTTTTTCCCGTCTAGCTTTCTACCGAAACAAACGCACTGCTTATTTATTTCCCGTTAAGTTTATCGATTCTCATTTGAATGTTCGTTGGAAATGCACGCACGCGGGGGCCCGTCATCTCGAAACTGCCGCCGCCCGCGGAGCCGCGAGGGGATTTTCGATACCGGGCCCCTGATTAATCGCCTTATAATTCACTACCTGTTATTGATAAAGAGCGGACATTCGTAATTCTTGCGGGTTTCGGAATAATACTAATGAATTGCTATTGAAGGAAAGCACGCGAAAATTCCGCCGATTTATCGTGGTTTCGTTAGATCGAAGCCGCGATATCGCGGGGGGACGAATATAATGGAAATGTCTCGTTAGATTTCTACGGGAGTTACTAATACTGGATGGACTTGAATTGATTAAGTAATTAACGATAACTCATTGTTGTTCCTGATTAATTTAGGATGCTCTAACGGTTTGAATGAACTATTTCTTCTATATGCTATATGCTCGAATTTTTATTCATGTTTCGATACAAGTACCCATCTCATTCGAACGCTGAAATGCCCGTTACTCAATTTACTTCTAACGATATTATTTCTGGTTTTCCTTTGATGTAGCCATATTTCTAGTGGATACTTCTAATTAGTTATTGCTATCGATATTCAACATCGCATCCTTTGGCAATTGAAAATCGCCGTTAAAAAGCTCCGTCAGTTATCGAGATAATTCGAAGCACATGTTCGGTAAATCCTCCTATAAATAGAGCCTACTTTCCGTGTAATGGCGATACGCCGGGCATTAATGTACCTAGTTATAATCGAAATTACTGCAGTATTACACGTTATTAACATGTTGAAAACCGTTATTATACCAACTAGTAATGCAAATGCTATATATACTCGAGTAAATTATTCCGTAAATCGTATATGTAAAGTGCCTAATTTAGGTTCAAATGAGTTTAAAGAATTTAAAAAGTTACAAAATGGCAATATAATTGGGTGTAAATTATTCTGCAATATATAAAAATCACTTAATGTAACATAACAGTTATTTCCACAAACACCCAACTCTATTACAATAAAAATCTCCCTATCTAACGATCATTTTTAACAGATGTTAGAGGTGGAAGTTTCGATAAATAAACCTTATTTACATGTAAAATATTATCGACAAACAATAAATAAACAGTGATTTACAAATAGTTTATTCAAGCGCTGTTCGTGCTGAAATAGATACACTCTGGCGTCGTAAAGTGGTTAGTTCAAAATCCCGATGAATCAGATTAAGCTCTAGAAACGCAGTTCTAAAAAGTCGGGTATTTATAAACTCCGAATCAAAACAAGGAATATTTTATGTCTTAAATGTGCGTTGTTATTGCAGCTAGTAAAGTTTTAATTACAATTTGGAGCATGTTCGTGAATTATAAAGACGTGACTAAATTGAGAAAAATGGAAGTGAATTTCGACGAAATAAATTTTATTAAATGTACAATATTTAATAACAGGTAGTTGGTTATATGAAATGAATATTCCATGCGTGTTGGGAATTAATTAATCGGAAATTTAATTGGCGAGGAAAGCGGCGATTTTTGCCGTGTTTTATCAAAAGTGCGATGTAATTATTTTGCAACACATGAAAGCCCGAGACTGATTACGCTCGTTGAAATTTAAAAAACACGTAATTTTCATAAAGTTAAGGAATTTTCATCAAGAATTACGTCGCCCGACGTATTTATGCATTTATTCATGAAGCCGAAAAACGTTAAAGAGGATAAATCAAATTATATCGTTAATAAGCCGTTTTGTTTGTCAATTAAATCCAAGTCTGACCCGCTTTTTTAATTAAAATTTCTAAACGTTAAGACGTCGTTTAAGTCGCCAAGAATTTTGTTATCCTGTATCAACTTTAACGAGTCGAAAATATTTTTTCGAATTACTCGAATAATTTCACCGTCGTTAAAAATATTTTGAACTCAATTTTTACAATACAACAAAATTAATCAACTATTACTAGGGCCCGACAATTAGCATAAATTCGCATACCTACTCATGTAAAATAATCGCGCTAATTTCCATTAAGTTTTCCACAATATTTCGGTGACATACGGTCGACGAAATTCACCCCATAAAAAACAACAATCAAACAAACAAAAAAAAAACTCCTCGACCGTAACCCGATCCGAATCCAACCCCGGTGTAGAGCACTCGAAAACCCACGTGGTCGCGGACCGAACGACCGAAAGGTAGAAGGCCCCCTCGGCACGCACCGTCTCGAAGGCTCGCGACGTCGGAGCGCGGGGACTGGCGTCGCGACGGTGCTACGGGACGTCCGGCTGCCGCCTTTTGACTACCAGAAGCCCGACGAGGACGCGAAATTCGCCCGAGCAAAGAGGGAAGCGCCTGCGCCGGCCCGACGCGTTCGGAAATAAATTTCAAAGCGCGCGATTTCGAAAAAAATGTTCAAGTTTTTCGAAATTGGGTTGATGGGTAATGAAGATTTCTATTGTACTCGAATAATTAGAGGAATGTATTGTTGATTTTTACAGCTGTTTTTTAAGTTCAAGTTGAGATTGATTAGATTGAGGATACAATTACAAGTTAAGCCTAATTTGAATGGATTTTATTCTGGAGTTTATTCTCAATTCGTTAAAAATATACGAAACTTTTATATAGAGTTTCTACAAGTTTTTGTGATGCGAAAATCCACCAGGGTAAAATATGTAATTAAAAAATAATTGTCCTCGTTACGAGGCGAGTAATAATAAAAACAATTACTTATTAACCGGCGGGCGGTTGTTTTTTTACTCTGTCTGAGTGCATTTCAACTTTCGACTTCCAAAAATCACAATTTGCGCTCAGGTATTAATTATGAAAAGGCCACAAAGGACTCAATTTTTACCCCTGCGTTCTGTCCGATGTTGCATGTCGCAGTGGCGGCGCTTTATCGTTTCCAGAAATCCATTATATTTCCAATTTAATAACCAATTTTATAACGCACGCATTAAAAAACCATTCAATCAAAACCAAATTGCTTCAGAAATAACACAATTTTTCTAACTCCTCACAAACTTCGTTCAATAAACAATACATACTAAAATTTACACCCCTAACGCAATCTACGCCACTGACCATTGATATGATCAAAAATTATTAAACATGTAGACAAAATGAAATGGAATAAAATGAACGTCATGATGAGAGGGTTAATAATAACGTTTTGTGTATATACAGCGAAATATTATTTCCGAAGGGCAAATCCGGTTTAAGTTTTTTATATATTTTATGAACTAGTAATGAAATTAATGCGACGGATAATAAAATTCTCGTTGACACGCAATAGGAAATTTGTTTGCGGCACGTTAAGTTCCTTTACGAGGTGTTTAATGAACATGGTTGATTAATGAATCATCAAAAAATTTAGCTGGAAAAATACCCTAGTTTATGAATAGAGAACCTACAGAGACTCCAAAAGACGGATCTATGGTTCCAAGGGACCAAAGAGATTGAGATGTAGACCCAAAAAGTAGACCTAGAGAACCGAAGATGTGAACTTATAGGTCTATAGAACCGTAGAGATAGACCTACAGGACCAAAGACCCTTAGATAGGGACCAATAGTCCTACAAAGATAGATCCATAAACCCAAAGAGGACCCAATATATGAACTTTTAGACCAACAGTGTTGGTCCCACGGACCTAAAGAGTCCATAACAATCCGAAAAGTCGAGAACAAAACTTCCACTTTCCTCGCACGAAAATTATTTCGGCTATCCTGTTTTCCCATTGCAATATTCCATAACTTATCCAAAGTTATTTCCTTTATTTTCATCTTACAAGCAGCGAACGGCAATAATCCATCGAGTAAACTTATTATTTCCATTTGATAGCATCTGTTCGACTCCATTTATGTGATAAGGGTCTCTCGCGCTTGGTAAATGGCGCGCCGTTTACACGGCCATATTTCATCTGGACGTTTTCCTGGAAAACTTTCGGGCGGCCATTCGCACGCCTATCGCGACATGGGAAACTGTTGCGTTCGCCTCTCGCGAAAAGTCGAGATCTCATAGAAGAAAATCGCGCCGGCTTAATTGCGATCAAAAGGGAAATGAAGACGCGTTCACGTGCCTGTCAATGGCCTCGGAGTTCTATTTCTAGACGTTTAGAAATTCACCCTCAAAACATTTGTCACTCAACCCCCTCGACTTTTACCGGTGTAAAACCTCATCTCAAACGTCCCATTAAGATAATTAAAAAGGCCGCCGTAAAACGTTTTTCTACTGCCGCGGTACCGATGAGGAAAAAAAAACAGTGGATGGTACAATATACGAGGTTTCTCGTTATGCTAAAATGACGATAGACGTTTTATTGCGTCACGTATTTTAACGTAACTGGGTCGTTTTTGATTCCGTAGAAAGGTTTCCATCCATCAAGGGATTTGTTCCTTTATGATATTGAAATTGGGGAAATATGCGGCGACCCGAACGGATCGAGTAGGGTCAGAAAAAAAACCTTGTTTTTATTCTTCGCGTGTCCTGTGCTTTTCGCAAATGCGAAATATAAGAAAAAGACGGTTCAATTCGTTTCGAATATACAAGGAAAACCCGAATTATCCACGCTAATTACTTAGAAAATTCGATGTTTCTTGCTACACCTATCGATCCGTAGGTATTTAAATAAAAACTTCAACGCCTCAATTTATTACTGTACAGCACTTATCGACATATTCATCCCTCGATAAGATTTTCCATCTTCTTCGAGCCTTCGAGTGCGTTTTAAGGGGTTCCCCATTCCGTATTTCGTAGCTAGTAATTACTTGTAAATTGACTTCATAAGCGATGACACTTGAAGTGCAATTTCGGGGGCGTCGACATCGAAAAATAAACTCACCCTTGGCTTTTCCCTTTAATAACAAGAAGTGAACTATTCTTGCGTTAACGATAGATCGCAAACATCCAGAACGTCTAGACACGGAATTGCGCTTTAATGGGAAAGTAAATTTTTCCAATTAGCGACAGAATGGAGCTTCACAAAAATGGGTTATTATTTTATTCGGATAGTAGATAAAGGATTCTTATTTGGTATGCAGAAGACAGCACGAGTGACTCAACGAAAATTTAGTTATTTACAGTGCCGAGTCGGGTCATATAAAATAGAGACTAAAATTGCTAATTATTGCAGGTAGTTGTAATTTATGATTCTTAAATTATTAATTCAATATTAGCAACTTTTTATTTTTTTGTTGGACTTACTGCTTCAAGAAGGTTTTATAACTATCTCCTGATAGCGATAATCAAGTCTTGTAATTAAGCTTTACTCTTAGAATTAGTGCTTGTTCTATTTTTTGGGTCACAAAAGGAGTTAAATCAAGCGAACGTTCCTGGCAAAATTCCCTGGTAAAATTTAAATTCTCCCGCATTTTCGGGCCCTCTAATCAACGAAACACGTGTAACATCGAGCTCGAGGAATAACTGGCATTCCTCCCGTGCATTACCTACGCTCAGTCGAGGTGGGAATCGTGTTTTTATTTCCTTCTATAAATAATAAACGTCACTCGCTTGACGGCCCGTCACAACGGGACGGCTTCTGTTTGGATGGGAGGTTTGAAAATAAAACCGAACTCGAAATGAAAACACAACGAACCGGAGCGAATCGGATTTTTCACATGCTGATATCCCATCGACCTGCACAGCTGACGAATCGAGCCGGGAACGTCGCAGGACGCGAATTCATAGGAAAACGTGACCCGTCCTGCTATGCCCCAGGAATGCTAATCTCAACCCAGCGGGATTTCCAACGAATCTAGCACACAAAGTCCTTCAATTTATGCACTTTTTTCGCCCACAAACTCTTATTTTTTATACAGATCGACTGCGATGACTGGAGACGCGAGGGCGTCTCTAGCTATTCCTGTCGAGCTGTGAGAGAAATGCGGGAGTAGAAAAAAAATCGTTGGTGTTTTCACAATAAACGTTTACGACTTCCGCTTTACGCGGGTTTACCGAGTATCGGGCGTCTACAAAGGCGTCGAACCGTCAGCGTCTAAAGCGGGGATGATATGCTGATGGCGTCGTGACGCAGATGTCTACCTGTACGGTAATTCCCGCAGGGAAATGTTTGTTGTTTTTAAAAGGAAACCGACGACGGATAGATCGTAGACTAAATGGCGGCTTATTAGGTAATTTAACCTACTCGTTTGCTTGATTTATTTATTAGAATTTGAATATTTTTTGAGCCATTCAAAGTACACCATCATTTGACTAAACTATAGCATCCTGTATAACGGTTTGTATTAACTAATTAATGTGTTTCGTACAAATTTTGAAACTTCCTTAACGACTAATTGCCTCGCCTGCGAGCCTCCCGATTCCCTTTATCAAATTTATTTATTATGTAGCAGCGTTAAAAAAGCAATAAGCTCGGCGAAATTAACTCGCGCGAGGTAAACACTCATCGCCGGTTTCCCCGGCGGGGGTATATAATTTTCCGAGACTGATTTCCATTTTTCTTTCGAGAGTAGTTTGCCACGTTGACGCTTTGTCTTCATGAAGGGCCACCAGGAAAATTCCGTTTTATTTCAACACTCCGGATAATGGAATATTAATGCAGTTTTTTTTCCGCGGAAGCCCCGACAACAAACGTCATGAATATGTAAATAGCCGCGACTGTGAATAGTTGGAAATACTGGAAATTCTTAGATAATAAACCAGATATTACGTTTCTGCGGCGATAAGACGGGAATTAATTTATTTGCTTGTTTCGAGACAACAACATTTTGTACCCTTAGAGGTAGCCAATAATCGATAGAATCCCGAGGGAAAGCGGGTTATTTACTTCCACAAAAAAAACCCTTGTTTAATACCCACAAACAAACTTCCCCTATTCGCGAAAAAACACTTGTAAAAAATCTCCAACTTTACGTACTTGCGACAGGACGAAAAAAAAACACCCTACCGCCCCAAGATTGTTCTTTTTACACGAGCCCGGAATCGTTCCCTTTGCGAAGGGTGAGTCAAAGGCACTTAGAAAGCGACGATTTCTCGATCCGCACCGGCCCCAATCAATGGAAGTAATCAAACCAACGACGTAGAAACGGGGAATCACCGAATGAATATTTTCCACGATTTTGAACCTTCAACTTTCCCGCTCATTTATACCTTTCCCATTGAACCCGCGGTTGTAGGGGGAAGAAGAATTATTATTATAACTGTATTTTCAAAAAATTCGTGATCGAATAAAATCAGTACCGCTGGTAAATTTAGGGTGCGCCGGCACTGATTTCGTCATTCGATAAAATTTCTTTCTGGTCTGGTTGAAAGACCTTAGATCAATGTCAACTTCGATTTGGGTACGCGAAATGAACAAGTAACTGCAAGTTGTGCGTATATGTGTGTGTGCTCCCCCACAAATCGCCCTCACTTCACGATGATTTATCGGTTTATAATTGATTCCTGAAGGGAGAGATCGACCCGCCCGGACGGGCTTTCATCAATTATTTCTTTTCTTTTCTCTCAGGTAATTAATTATTCCGCAAATATCGGCGATTTCGAGCTGCTCGTCGTAGATAAGGGTCGAATTCGATCCCTCGGTTATTACAGATTTAACACTAAAAGTGGCGCTTTTGTCGAAAAAAAGGGGTCGCCTATTGAAGGGCATTCTTCGGCGTTTTCCCATTTGAATGCAAATTCTTCCGGGGTCAGTCGGTTTATAGATGTTGAATTTAGATAAGGGTGATTATTTGCCGTTATTATCTCTTCATTTGAATCAAACTCTCGTGGGGTTGCGGGGACCAGTAGCAGCTTTACAGCGACACCAGTTAGCGATAAGGGAAGGGAAGACAAATTTGACAAAGGCTATACAGGTAGAGACTATTTTTTAGAGTTGTTATTATAACAGTTTGTTTGAACAAATAATTGTTCAATTGAATAAATTTAACACAAATTATTTCCTGTAGTGGTTCCATTCATCCGAAATAGCCACCATAAAAGTCAATTCGTACAAAACACGCTATACATAATCTAATCTTAACCTTCCCTTATCGAATAAAACTAATAAAAACACCCTTTTCGCTTTCACTTACCTGCGCCCTTTCGCCGGAGCAACAACAATTCTTCTGGAAAGCTTCCTCCCTTCCTGCTGGGCCGATAGGATGCTTTCTCGGGAAGCCGTTAACCTTATCCAGGTGCCCCAGGAAGCCGTAGACGGAGCCGGGCGAGAGGGGCGAGGCGATGCCGGAGTCTGTATCGGACACTTTCCCCGTCTTGAAGGCGCTGCCCTGGTCTGGGGTAGCCCCGAAAAAAGACCATTTTTTATATTCGAAGAAAAGGAAAGTTTGGAATAACAGGTATACAGCGGGAAAAGTTAGATTGATTTTGCTTGTACGGGGAATTGGAATTTTTAAATTGAAATTTCGGGTTTTAATTGGGTAGATTAGATAAAAAAAGGGAATATGTTAAATAAATTTCGAATGCAAAACTCACCTAGGGAAGTAGCGTCGCTATCTTTGGAGTTTGAAGGAAGTTTAAAACTCGCTACACTTTCGCCGGTCCTTAAGCCATTTGTCTCGATAAGGAATTCTTTTTCCCCGGCGAAATCCCCGTTTAGAGTCGGCTTTTTCCTGTATTTCTCGCATTTTCCTCGATTTTCGAGCGGCCGGGTTCCGCCGGCAGGGAAGGGTTGCGGGGGGCGGCCGTTTAGTTCGGTTAGATTCCTTAAATGGCCGCTTTCCCGTTTTTCTTTAGCCGTTTGATTCTCTCTTTGCCAGTTGTTATGGAAGTCGGACGGTCGACTGGAAATGAAGAAAATTGCCGCCGGTGAGCCGGGTTAAATGCAACGGAAAAATAGGGAAAGTTTCTTATGTACTTGCAGATATCGCTTGGAATGGTTTGCGCTAAGTGCAGGTGCATTCAATTCGGTTCAATTATATTGCTACATACTTTAGTACTTACATGTACAGGGTGGATCATGATGAACTCTACATTTACTAATGTTTAAAGGCACTTAATACAAGCTGATTTAGCAATGTAGAGGCAATGTAGAGTTCATTATGTCTCAATTTTTCAGTATTTTAGTCAGTATTTTACGTTGTTGGAACAAACCAATTGAAGCATTTATTCAATCGGTAAACGTATTTATTTACCTTTGATGGGGTTCCTTCGACTTCCTGTTTAGAGGTATTTTGCTAGCCAAACAATCGGGAGTAGGATTTCCCGCTGAATCGGCGCTATCCAGGCGAAGTTGGTGTTTGTTCGGAGCGGGCGAATCGACGAGGGATGTTCTCGTCGGAATTTTTATGCGTCTGGATGTTGAGTCCGCTGGAAATCCTGCGGCGCAAAGTTATTTATATGACGCGAACTGTATATAATAACATCCCGGCTTCGGAAATTCCGAGGTTTTTTTAGTTTTTTTAGCGAAATTTCGTATCGATAATAAAAATCGGAAATACCTCCGGAAGTTACCCCGGACGAATGTTATTTATTTGACGTAAATGGAGGAAAGGGGGCGCTATGGTTTACGACTTATCGACGGAGTAAATGGCCGTAGATCATATCCAGGGTACATTAATGTAGTAAAGGTCACTCGTTCTTCTATTGTTGGAAGAAATTGGGGAGTAGTGAGAGATCAAAAGAGTTGCCCTTCTTTCGGGTTTCTCACACAAAAAAGAGGGATTCTAAAGGGATATTCAGTTCTATCAAAATTTGATACTCCACTTTGATGGCTTTTTACTTCTTACGGATTCCACTTAATGTCTATGTCGGTGCATAGACAATTTTATTTCGAATTTCCGGGGGTCTCAAACCAAACTTTTCTTTTTTCTATACATTATTTTACTTACCGAAACCTAAACTGTATCTTTTAATCAAATCAACGTCCCCGTGCGGTCGCGTAACGGAAGGCGGCGGTTTGAAAATCACTTCGGAGGATCTCCTCGTCTTCTTCGGTAACCCAGACGTCCGAAAAGCGATTTCTCCGCGTCGACGAGCCAACTCTCCAACGTAATTTTCCCCGAATTGTTTTCCACCGCCTTCCATTCTCTCACCTTTCGAACCTCCATCGTTTCTCCACGACCCCTCCAGGCAATCAGCATCGCAATCGCTGCAAAAAAATCGTATATTTAGCACGCTTAGGCTTATTTAGTAGGACGATTTTGTAATTTGTATCTATACCTGGAATGCGGTCGCTTCTTCACCGTTCCGGTTTTATTCGAAGGGGAATCCCAATCCAGCGAGTTCGACGCGGATTTTCCCGACCGATCCGACACTACACCTTTCCTTCTAACCGACATCACAAAACATTTTCGTTGCACTTTTCCCTCGCCGCACGACCGGAATCAATATATTCGTTAAATCGCTTCCTTCCCGCCAAAAAGTACACAGCAAACAGCCGCGCAAAACCGACAAGTATCGAATTTCATGGCGCTATTAATCGACAAAATGCTGCAAGACAACTGAATGCCGGCGTGTACAGGCGCTCCCGAAGGGGCGGCTCGATCTCGGCCGCCCCCTCGTTGCTCTTTCGCCGGCCCCGAGGCTCGATTTGCTCTCTTTCGCTCCCGACGAATGCAACAATCTCACGCGTCACTTCGGGATATTACCTTAATCAAACAGCCAGCTACAAGGCGCGATTATTGGGATAGATATACGGGGGGGTTTTTGTATTGAGATGCGCCGGAATAAATCAACTGCACCGATAGGATCTTCGCTTAAAAGCACGGTGCTATATTTCTATGGACTGGAAACATACATAGGTCGAGAAATTGTCCCGTTATTTGAGGATAAAACAGGGTTCCTAAAAGGGCCGCTATGAGGCGATGTTGTAAAGGACCACGGTTTTTTGCGTACGAATTATATAGAATTAGCATTAAGAAAGGTTATATTCGAACTAAAAATAGATAGAAAATATAAAAATATACCTTAATCAGTGATGATTTTGTTGTTAACATCATGCCTCATGCATCTTCGGTTAATATATTTCTCCATTTTCTCCTCGAAATGTCAAAAAATAATTTTTGAAGTTTTGACAGCTTGAACTGTCGTTTCACACAACCGCGATTTATATGTAGCTCGACACTGATTGGCTGAGATAAGTTGGTCCTCTGATCGCTCGCCACGGTGCGACGCAAAAGTGAAGCTCAAAAAGTCATTGGAGGTGAAAATTAACTCGTTTTTTGCAAATTTCTTGAAGACAAAAACTTCCGGGAGTCGAAAGATTTTGGTTCTCGAGTGATAATTTGCATAAGATTCACTATTTTTCCCCATCC